AGGGAAAGAAACTACAGGACAGCAGAGTGGTTGAGGGCAGATTCTGAGCCAGACTGCTTGGGTTCTAATTCTCACTTCCTCACTTACTAGCGGAGTGAGCCTGGGCGGTCAGCTACAGAAGTTCTGTGCCTCATTTTTCTCATCTGTAAAATGGGAAAAATAACAGTGCCTACCTGATAGGGCTGTTCTAAGTAGTCATATATATGAATTATTAACTCATATCTATGAGTTAATATAATATCAAGTGCTTAAAACACGTCTGGCATGTTCTAAATGCAAGTATTAACAACTACTTGGCACTCAGTGACCGGGTCAGTGCTTGGCATACTGGAGTAGTTCAAAAAACATTTGTTGAGTAAATGGTAAATAAGAAAAACATCTCATTCTTATATACTAGTGATACTAGAAAATTACAAAATATAAATGGACTCCCCTTCAATGAGTTAGTTGAATGGAAAGATGAGAACAAAGATCCTGAAATTATTCTGCTCAGCTACTTCCTGGCCAATTCGAGATGACTTACATGATTTGCAGGTTATTATACTATTGTTATTGCTTATTAAATAAATATACCATTTGGTTATTATACCATTACTGCTCATATAAGATGAATGTAAAAGATTTCTGAAGTAATGACAACCTATTTCAGTGTTATTGTAATGAAAAGAAGAAAAAGAGCCAGGCTTTTATCACATCCCCAATTAAAAGGCTATGTCCTTTTACAGCATATGACAAATTATAAAAACCAGTATGTTATTCAGCTTTAATTTCTTCAAAACTCACTCTCCAAACACTGCCCAAATATACTTTCCCTGCCTTTTATCATGCCTCCTATGAAGCAACTGAATGGACTACTTTAATGAGCAGCACATTTATTTCTTTTAGTCAGATCATGACAAAGGGGTGAGGCTGAGAATATTCTTATTTTTGGATACAGCTTAGGTTTAAGGAACCCATTGTCCTTTACAGAGTCAAATATTATCTACTGAGATGATGGAGTAGCACTCCCAGGAGCTCAGGGGTCAGAGAGAAGACCATGACCAAAATATTATGAAACTGGGTTAGGGCTTGATCAAATGTGTTCAAATGGGAAGGCACAATTTCTTTAGAAAACAATGTATTTCTATATTGAATCCTATAAACTAGGAATAATTTTACTAGCAGAAAATATACAGGTATGTGTACACACCTATACACACACACATATAAATGTACAATATAAAATCAGAGTTTAAGCAGAAGTGACCATTTTTTAAGGTCCTCAAGTTAAACATAATTAGTTCTAAGTCTCTCCATTAGTTTACTACTTGTTTATCATGTTGTCTTCTGTCAGTATTACCAAAGATGCAACTGTTTAAGAAAATGGATGAAAATAAAACAAAGGAACTGTAATCCCGGTTTATTTTTTTTGTGCAAACTGGGTGGAAAAAAGAAACTATCTTAATTTTAGCAACCAACCACCTTGGGTTCAGCAATGGAAACTCTGATGTAGTTTTGAGGATATTTATAGTGGAAAAGGCTACGAAAGAATGAGATCAAGCTCCAAAATTCAGCTTCCTGTGGTTTTTGCTCATTCACATGTCTCCCCATACACTGTAAGCAACTTGCACAGTGCCTGGCACACAAGTCATTCAAGGAATATTTGAATAAATGAGTACTGGGGCCTATTCCAAGACCACAGGAACTCACAAAGGTAAGCTACAATTGACAAGGAAGTAGCCTTACTAAGCAATCATTCATTTAATAGATATTTACTGAGTATCTAACACATGCAAAACATTGTTAGGCCCTGGAGGGACGCTGAGGCCACTAAGATCTAGACATTGCCCAAATGTGTTAACAGTCATACTGAGGGAAAGAATATGATGTTTTATGAGAACCCAAAATGCCGACAGTGAATCAGTTGTATGATTACTATATATCAAGTAGTTACTGTTAGGTATTAAATGAAGTGAACCAATAAGGTACCTGTTCATAAAAATGTATCATCCAGGGTTAGAGGAAGACTGAGCAATGAATGACAATGATTTGATCAAAGTTGTGAAGACATAAGAAACAAAAGCTCTTTTAAAGCTTCAGAACTCCTTCAAATACCTAACCAGAGTCCTAACCCAATCACAATTCCTTCTTGCTTTCAGAGGTATAGGACGAATACTTGGAATATCAATGTAACTAAGATTTGTTTAACTAAACTGCCCTGTACCACTGATTCCTATAATGCAAATGGAATGAGAACCAAGATCAGAAAGAATTACTCTATTATTAATAAATTCCTGTAGTTCTTAGCCTATAGACTATCAAATGACACTAATGAACAGAGTTGGGTCAATATTTATTTCAGTATGAAGGGTGTTCAAGTTTATCCTGCATCAAATCAATACAAGTGATATATCAGTCCCGTGAACTTGCTTTTGCTGAAGGCTTCTTAGTTCAGATCTCAATGACTAAAAGTCCTGTTTACAGAGCCGACAAGGATATTATGACTTTTTTTTCAGAAGGGAACACTAATTAATCTCAATTCTTTAGCTAAATTTCAACCTCAGTGTTGGAATTAATGTCCTTGCTCTTTGTAACTTTCTTCCGCTGCTTTACTTTTTATGCCGTTCTTAACTCCATCTATACATGGTTTGATAAAGTCTATATCCCACTAGAAGGATGAAGTAACATTTTATAGAGATAGCTGGGAGAAGAAATATGTTTAGCGATTTGGAACTAAAAGATAATGCTGACTCTCGGCTTAGTATCTGCTCATACTGCGTAGTAAAAAGACCTCTACTCTTGTGCAATGCACCAACTAATTTTGAATCCAGAATGTTTTTCAAATGCAAACCTGATTTCACTACATTTCTTACCATCCAGGGACTTCCTATTTCCCTCAGAATAAAGTTTCTAAAGTTTCAAATTCCATCATCTGGTTCCTGCCAAATTCTCAATCTCCTTATGTGTCACTCTCCCACCTCACACTCTACAGGCTATTTAGTTATACTACTTTCCTAAAACTTCTCAAATTTTCCACTTTTTAACTGGGTTATGTGGGCTTTTCCTCATGCTATTCTTCCTCCTAGAACTGTCTTAATCCCATCCTATTCTTTGCTAACATGTATTAATCCTCCTAGTTTCTAGTTTCCTAGCCCTATATGTGCCTGTCCTTCCCCTCCCTTTACCCGCCCCTTGCTCCCTGTTATATGCTCTGGTAGCACTTTTGTATTTTTTCTTTGGTAGCAGCTATTATGATTCCTTGTTCATATTTATCTTTCCCACCAGACTGTGAATTCTGGGAGGACAGAGAGCCTTCTGTTTTATTCACTGTGTCCAACACTGGTGCATAGAAAGCACTCAATTATTATTACATGAATGAACAAACAAATGAAAGGTCCATATGAGTATGGTCAGGATACAGAAACTAATAAATTTTCTCTATTAACAACAGTCCCATTCATTCATATCCTGTGTTCTGAAGCCTCCAAGCTTCTTCAAGACTGTGCTCCTGCTTTCCAATCTTTATTGGCAAAGTCTCTCCCACTTTTTAAAACTAAGTTCATTTTCTTCCCCTAGAAACTTCCTAAGAAAAATGAGGCCATTCCCAGTTCTTTACATACACACAATGCTTCTAGAAATAGTTAAGTTTAGCAACATCGATTAAGTTCATTAAGTTCCACAGAGGTTAAGGAGTCTATCAGTTATGGCTGTGTTGTTTCTTCTGTTTTCAACTTAGTAAGTATGTTATGTATTGATACCCCTCTTAAGAGTGGGTATATATCAAATTAACGTTTGCTTATCAAAGCTAAACAATTTATTATATTTGTATTTATATTTTATTTTTAAAGTAGCAATGAGGGAAAAAATAAACATCTTTTTGCCATATGAAAACCGCTTATTAGGGACTGTGGAAAATGTGCAAGGCTAAGAAAACACTTTAAGAAATCTAAGGAGCACTCATGAACTCTAGCTGGGCAACAGCCTTGAACTGGGTCTTATATACAAATGTGTGGGCTTAAAGTTTCCATCTGAGAGGCAGCTTGGTATTGTAGCCAAGGAGACCGAAGAATTAAAGACAGTCATGACCTCCCATTTACAAACTGGACAAGACACCTACATCCTCTGAACCTCAAATACACATCTGTAAAATGTTCCCCAACATAACTGTGAGATCATGGCTAGTAAAGCCCTTCTTTGTAAGATAGAATATGGTCAAAAATTTAAGTTTGTAATGATTATTATTAGGATTATTTACTTTCTTTAGCTAGGAACATGCTTTTCTTCTGAACTCTCAGCAAACAACCACGGATGATTACAGCCATATAACAATAATGACATAGCATTCTCCTTGTAGTTACCAACCAAACCACGTAAGAACACTGTTTCAAAACAACCACTTCATATTTGTCATTTGACTACCTGTTCCACAGTGACTTTCAGAGAAGTAGATGGATAAAATTTGGTACCCAGTGAAAGGTTATCAAAGATATCATTTCAAATAAAAATATTTTCAAAAGGCTATCTGTTCTGTGGTTTTGAACAGAGTTCAAATAAGTCTGGAGCAGGAACAGTGGCTAAGAGCTTTAGGAATTCACAGACCCATTACTATGTATTTTTTCAGAGATAATTCCAAGGAATAGCTAACTAAGAACACATGTAACAGCAGTTATATTAATTCTTGATGGTAACAGTAGCAATCCCTTCTACCTGTAATTTGGGTTTTCTTAGAAACTGTAGGTCATCAATGCACTCAAAAGGGAGGTCTGTCCTATAACTATTTTGTTGAACAAGAGAAAAACATGTCATCTGATATATGGTAGCAAGTAGCAAAAAGAGAAATATAATCAAAGGCTGTACTTACTCTTTGCTCTTTGAGGTACTTGAATAGTTCTAAAACAACTTTAAGTAACTTAGAAGAAATACATGCACATCTGAACAGAGAGCAGAAACGATCCGGGCCTAAATAAATAGGAAAAATGCCCCAAATTAATATAATACTTCTTTAAAACTCAATTTGAATTCACTTGGAATTAGAAAAAATGATTAGCAATCATCTAAAACCAACGAAATGTTATACTAAAAAAGGTGGGCAGTAAGTTTTTTTTTTAAAGAAGTTTATTCTTAAATTCTCACATTATATGTAACATACAAAAGAAAATTATGATTTGAGAAGATAAAGGAATAAGGATACTGTCTTGGAAATAAATTTCAACATTTAATAACTTTTTAAAATCTTTCACGACTATAGTGAAAGAATAAAGAGGGCCTAGGAAACATTGTGCAGTTAGTTGTCTTGGAAGTAAAAGAAATTCATTATGTTTCTCTTACACCTTTTTAAAGGATACTGACAACAAAAGCAAGCCAAGTTGATCGGCATTGTGAATCCTAAAATTTGCAACTAGAATGCTTTTTTGAGTTTACAGTTCCACCAATGGCTCAACTGGCCATTTAAATGTTTCCATATATCTTTTAAGCATCAGCAACTTCCTCTTCAAATACCATTTATCTCAATAGGTAGGATGAGAATGAAAACTTGTAAACGCCTGAGGACTTCCTGGATTTAGGCGTTTATCACTAGCCTCTATTATCATTATGTAGAATGTTGTCCAGCACAGTCTGCATGGAAGAGATTTCAATCAAATCATTTTTCTTTTATAAATGTTTCTTGAGCTGGTATCAAGCATAACTGCTCCCTCCAAAGTTAAGGGAAATCATTTTACATTTAAAAACACACCCCAAGATCCCTGAGCAATTATTTTAAGTGGGGGCACCGATTCTGGTCCTTCTCTAACGTAGTGGAAGGCTCTTCCAAGGCCTGTAACAGAACTTGGGCTTCAGAGGAAAGCAAACCAAGCTTAAAGAGCAATCCACACTCACCTTCCTCTCCTCTCCCCACCTCTGAGCTATGTCCTTAAGTGCACCAGAGCTGGCAGAAAGAAAAGGGGGGCGGGAGGGAGGGCTCTCCTGGTTAGAGCCAATGGAAAGAGACCGCAACAGTGACTGTTAAAGCTCTCGGAACAAGCCCATCCCTGCAACAGTGAGTGGGTTTGAACCACGAGCAGGTCATCATTACACAACCAGCAGCAGCTGGTGATTCAAAAATAGCAACTTGCAGTTCCACAGAGCACACCAGGCTAGCCCAGCCCCAAGCCCTTGGCTGCTCCGGCAAGACATCTTGACATTTCCATACTACTGTGTACAATATAAAAAATTTAAGCTTTATCAAATACCTCTCCTCACTCAATTTCCACAAATGTGGTCAGCATTTTTCAATGTCCCTGATTTCTTCCCCTCGAGTTAGCTATTTTACGCAAAATCCTCAACTACTTATGCGAAAGACCCAGAAATAAGAATATTCTTGACCACACCTACCTGTTTCTCACATCCAAGGCATTTTACTCGCCCACACTGACGAGCCTCTGAGAGCGTCTCCCTCTCTGCGTCCCAGGAAGTGCGTTCCCTGCGAGCCGCACCGGAGGCTTCTGGGAGCCTAGTCATGTTCTCCGG